CATCACACGCGCCAGAGAAAAACTCGCTCTTTATCTAATTCGATAAATCTATATATAAGCTTCAACACCCTCGAATTTTAGAAGTATCTTCAGTAGTATTGAATTTCAGATAATTATTGGAAAATTTTAATCAATAAAGAAGTACTCGATTTTGTCTCTTAGCCGTTTTTTTCCATTGCTTCATTTGACATCTGTATTCAAATTAATTAAATAATTAAAACGACTGCCTGTCCTGGTATTATTTTCTATTTAACTGTAAGACCGACAAACATGAAAGGTATGTTATAAACGACACGTAATAACAGGAATTTTCTGGTTCGTATCTTGCCGTCTTCGTGGGCACCGGAAGTAGTCCTGTCTGCGGAATCGGATTGTAAAGGAATACGAGATAAAACTACACCTGTATCCTCGCGGCTCGTGCGGCCGATTCGACCGACATTTGTTAGCGCCGTCGGTCTCTCTCTTTCCCCCCTTCTTCCGTCTCCTCTTTATTTAACTTCTTTACGAAGAACGCGATAGGACTTTTACGACCTGAAAATCATACGAAGAGATAGAAAGAGAGAGAAAGAGAGACATTGGGTAGGATGTTCCCTCTCTCTGTTTCTATCGCTCTCCCGTTACTCCTCCGCATTAAGAAACATAATTATTATTACTACTAGGCAGTCATTTCCTCTCAAACGCAAATAACTCACTGGAATCTCGGGTCGTGTAGGTCAACTTGAGATTCGGTTTTTTCAGTGAAGAAAAACTCTATCTTTTCTTCGGGAGATGATCATAACATCAGCCAATCCGAACGCGTGAGGAAAATTAAAAAATAAAAACAGCTTATAAATACCAATTTTGTAAATGCTGAGTACTTTTTTCCAATTAAAATTTAATATTTTAATTTGAGCCTAAAGAAAAACATTTAACTTTTAAAGTTAAAATGAGATAATTTCTTATTTTGTATATTTGCGTATCTCGTGTCATATCTTACATTTAAAAAAATTCAGTTGAATTACAGACTGTAGGCGTGACGCGTCAGTGGATATGGTAACATCAAAGTTTATCACGAAGTAGCCCTACTTATGTGGTCGAGACGTTAAGTGACGTAAGTGCTCCGGATTACCAAAAATTCCGCGCATCGCTTTTAATAAGGATTCAGCTCCGGATGTGGATTCCTACATTTCACTTCGTGGGAAAAAAGAACTCCGGGCAAGCCCGAGGTCGTAAAACCTTGTCTCCCTTCGAACAAATGTATACCGACTTATGTAAATCTGTCCTGCGCTCTCTCTCACCGCGGTCTCCTAAATCTTAATTCCCCGGCCCGAAAGAACACGGTCTGGTCCAAATTGGAGGAGCCAGACCCCGAAGGAATGAGGAAGAGCTCGAGATGCAAGGCGGTAATTAGGCCGATTCGGAAATTGCGTAATATCCCCGTGTGTGCAAGATTGATGAAATTGACTTTAGCAAGTAATTAAACTCTCGTCTTACAACATATCCTTTTCTTCGCACGATTGAAAATCACTTTAGAGGAATATTCAGACTAGGAGCCGTCTCGTTTAACTACTCGCTTGTTATTTTGTATAAATAATGTGGCAAAGGTTCAAGAATATTCTGCTTAGTCGCGGAATGAGTGTGTATAACATTCATTAATTTCTCAATATCTTTTATTATTTTTCACAAGATTGATACGATTATATATCTTGAAAGAGATAAAGAAAGAAAAGCATTACACGTGTTAAGACAGATGTTAAGACGTGTTAAAAATATGGAGTTGAGAAGATAACAAATTAACAAATTTAAATATCAATTTAGCTGCATTGAGGCCGAATCGAATTTCTTATTTCTAATTGTTTGTATTTCTAATCGTCATTGAGCACTTAGGGAGCGAGTCAACGAGGGTGAATGGGGAAAGAGGGTATGGGCGAGACCACGGGAAAGATGGTGCACGTGACGAAGCGTCAACTCGGGGTTTGGGAAGCTGGTGGGAGCTAATTACCGTGGGTCCACGGTCCACTGGCGCGGCACTTGTGTCGGCGCCTTTCAGCATCCGGGGGAGGTCCTTCGTCGACGCCTGCGCCGATAGCCGCGGCCGAAATAAAAATTTTACACGGAAACGCGGAAGGGCTTTGCGAAGAACGCGACGGGAATAGAGGAAATTTCGCGCGAACCGGGTCGATTAGGCGTGCAGAAGGCATCGGTCCTTAGGAGGGACGGCCCGTCTTTTGAGGCCCAACGGTACCGACAATGTAGGTGAACCCCTCAATCGCTGGAGCCTTACGTAGAACGACAAACAGAAGCGTTTCTGCACCTCTGTCTTTTTAATAATTGTATATAAAAGAAAAGGAAGACTCGTCTCTCGCGAGTAGAGTTGAATTAGAAAACAACATTGTTACGTTCGTCCGAAATAAAGCGGGGATTAAGCGGCACAATGAGGCTTTATCTCGAGGCGACGTTGACATATCGTTATCAGTGAATCAATCGATCTCTGGCATCGAGCATAGTCGGTGATCAAGCGAATAAATCTCAAATCGCGGAATTGAGAGATCCGTTTGCCAGATCGTCAGATACCTAATTTTAGGCTCTTTTCCTCCCTCCCCCGTTTCAATTTGGCTAATTACGGGCGACTCGGGGCAACGGGCTAATTAACGACTCGGTGAATCGGCGGATCGGCGAGTGACCGAGAACTCGCACGTTTTTTTCAGGATCGTGAATGGCTTTTGAGCTGCGAGAGATCAGGACCGTAGTTAGCGCGCCCGTGCTACAATAGGCGGGTTGTGCGGCCTGGTGAATGAACCGGTGTGCTCGGCCATCAATGGCGACCTGTCGTCGACTCTTGCTACATTAACTCCTTTACAAATCCGCCTGTTACAAATCCTCCCGCCTTTAACGAGGCCCTCTTAAACGCTTCGACACCTCGTCCCGTCGATGTTTGACATCGCCACGTAGCTCGTCGCCACGTGCCCGACGATCCTCGGCTCGCGCCGCACCGTCCAACTTCGCGATGCAAGGAGAATTTAGCGCGGTACCAATGTGGTACCAATGCTGATCGGCGAAATGAGGCATCCGAAATCGAATGAGACGAGATAATCGAAATTTAAATCAAGCCGGATAAGACGATTAGACCCTATTGTGTTAATCCTGGTGACCGGCACTGTTCAAAGTTTCTAAAACTCTTGTAAAAATATTATAATTATACAGGTGACCCTCGAATAATTGTATTTGAACTGCACAGTAAAAAATTATAATAATCCTACTTTTTAAGTGTCTTTTCAATAAGCCCTTGGAACTAAATGCCCAATTTTATGTATATAGATTATAGATTTGAAGTCTTGAACTGCACGGTTTTCAATAGTACGGAACGTGATCTCCAAAATTGAATTCCAAGTCTCAAATAACATGGTTTTCAATAACATGGAACTAATTAATTGTGTTATTCGAGAATTACCTTGTATATCTGATATGTTTAAAATTTTGTCATAGCTACATAACAATTTAAAGTAAAAATGTGACCGGCACTATCGATGTTTTTTAAAAAAACGCTTGTATACAAAATTATCATCCGATATAAAATTTTGACATAGCTATATACGTAAAGTAAGAATGCACTATTCATCAACGCGCTGTCCATGAGAGGATATACAGTCTCATTTAATTTCAGTCATATTATAAAATATTTTAACGTTATGATAATGAAAATTTTACACGTGGGTAAGATACGCGAGATTGCTAATAAGCAGACAACATGATAAATGAGATAATTCGCGTAATTTTATAACGCGAAATTCCAATATCTATCCGAGACTCATCCGTGCTTCGTATGCATGGCTTCGAGTAATATCAAGGGACACCTGTATTTTTGTCGAGTGGATACTTTGTAACGAAATGCGCATCGCTTAGCACCGGTGGATCAAATATTTACTCGTGGTGCAGACGCGGGCTTGTCCCTTCCTCGAGCTATATGATAAACTATTTGGATTATACATTCCGGCGTGCGTTCGACGTTCACGAGCGTCTCGCGCGTGCCGTCGGTTTTTCAACTTCAACCATCAACGGATTCAAGTATCCGTCACTCTGCTGTCGTTTCTGGCACTATATCTAATCTAACTAAACACATCTCAGATTTGATCTTAAAACGGCAGCGCGTTATGATTCGCGGTATCCTTCGCCGAGTGGATCGCTTATCGTCGAAACGCACTCTCTAGAATCCCCTCAGAGATTCCTCCTAGGAATATATCTGTTTAATGAAGAGTATGCGGGTGAATCTGTAAAGATTCGACGAGAGATACTAACATAGTCGCGTATCTCGCATCTAGACCCCGCTAGAATAGCCAGCCGCAGATTCGAGAAAAGAGCGACGCGCCCGCGGCGTTTCCTCCTAATCCGCTACATCGACCAGACCCCATTAATCCTCGTAATTATTCGCGTCGCGATTGTCCAACGTCTCGTGGACAGAATTAGTCCCCGGCAGAGATATCATCCCCAGGCGATTTCCACCTGTCCGTCCTGTCCGGGTGCCGCTGCCCCTCGGCGCGGCGACGACGATCGTGCCCGCATCTCTTCTGGCGAAACCTCGTCGTCGTGGAGACGACCAAGTCTCGACGCGCGCCGTAAATCACGGTGCCCTGCGCGCCCCTCCCGCGACGGTGATCTTTCAGATTTAATTCGGTACTAACATAATTAGCGGCGGTGGCAGGCGCGTATACGCCTCGTCTCGCTCTGCTCGCAGCACCTGCCGTGCCAGCGAAGTTTCCCCTCTCGGAGAAATATATAGCCGAGGAGGATGGTTCGCGAGGAGAGGACGATAGCTAATATTTCTCCGCCTCGTCCGACTCCGCTCTGCCGCCGCCGTTACCGCCGCGCTCTTTCTCCCCCTTGTCGGGCACCACCCCTGCTTTCCGCTTTCTACTCTCGCGAATATCGCCCGGATAAATCGGCGAGCGGCCAAATGGAGAAGAGAGCGATGCGGCCGACGACGCGGGCTTTCAGCGCCAATTACCAGTTTGCCTTCCCTCCCTAAATGACTCGATAAAGACTGCAACGACTGGGCGAAAAAGAACGTGGCGGCGAATGGACGCGCGCGTTTCGCGTGCTATTTCGGATGACTGATATTTTTTCGTCTGCCAATTTCGATCTGCAGTTTGTTTCGTCGACGCCATTTGATATCGCGTCTGAGCGTCGCAAATGTAGATTATTTTTTATATTTTGTAAATGTTTTATGATTTCTTTTTAAACGTCTCTCTTCGAGAAAACGTGCCTAAAAGCTCGTAATAAAAAAAAATCGTAAATAATTATATCTGAACCAGATTACGTAAACGAATAGTCAATTTTTCGTCAAGTGTCCGTTCAAAACGCGATGCTTCGTGGTATTTATTCTTTGTTTCTAAAATTTTTCCTTATGTGTAATTGACTGGAACTCTCCTCAAAATAATGTAAACATGATTGTGATTTAATTTCCTCTCACTATTTTTCAAGAATATTGCTCATTATGTGAAACTCTCCCTACACTCATTACATTTTTTTTAGACAGATTTATGTTGTACGATTATACGCCATAATTACAAAATTGCATACCTTGCAGTAGCTTGCCCACAGCATCGTCCAAGGAATTATTGTTGCCATGTTCGTTGCTGGAAGAGCCGGCTTTACTCTCCGACAATGACGACAAGCCGTTGTTATTATGATGGGCTTCCATTTTTAATTAAACGCAAAAGACACTCTCACTGACGGCGGCCAATGTGCCCACGATCACCAAAAACTATATCTCTCATAGATGACAAAGATTCGCGAGTTCAAGAACGCATTCTCGAAAACGTTAAGAATATCACTCAAATAATCATCGGCAAATTAAATGGCAAATTTCGACGGGACGTAAAATGCATCTCGTGGATATCGGTCGCAGATAAGCGGGATTCTCGGTAAGAAATCTCCGGCGCAGGAAGAGGAGAGGCTCGATAATTAATCGAGGGTTATCGGAGCGCGATTTATCGGGTCGGGTAGGTCGCCGAATCTTCTTTATGGCTACTTAGTCGACCCCGCGCGACCTTATCCGCATTCGAATATATATTTTCTTTATCCCGATTGATTAAACCGATTCCCGCGAACTCGTAGATCACTCAGAGATTCACTTCGTTATCGGCTCCAAGAAACATTAGACGGAAATCGTTGCGACGGAACGCGACGCGACGCGTTGAGAGGAGAGGAGGGACGCACTCTATTCGGGAACCACCCGAGCTGTAGCTGCTCTCCTCGACTTATCTTTCGTCAATGGATCCTTTCTCGGAGGATTCTGCGTCCTTCTCGCATTCGATGCGAGACGGCTCAAGAGTCGTAGGGCACGCTACTTCGAGGGGGTGCCACATCGTGCGGGAGAAGATTCGTCCTGGCCGACCTCGAGATCATCGAGTCGCGTCATAGTTAAAATCCACGGCGTCTCTCTTTATCGATACCTGGTCGCTTCTCTTTCTCTCTTTATCGGTTTATCGAGGACGGGAGATTGCGTGAACTGAGACGCCGTGTCGTCCCTTATCCGATCTCTGGCTCGCGACATCGAATGGATGTGACCCGAGATCGGGAGAGACGCGACGGCGCGGCGGTACTGGCGAATCAGGTAAACTCCGATGGCCGACTGATCGGCCGAGAGGAGAGACGCGACGACGGACCCGATGGATTCAGGGAGGCGAAGGAAGCCGTCTGCACGGCTCACAGCCGCACAGGTTGGTCCACGGATTGGAAGAGGCCGAGGCCGAGGCGAGACGAGACGAGCGCACGTCTGGCACACGCACCGAAACCGTCGGGCGGATGGCAGACCGCGGAGGCGGTTCCGTGGACCACCTACCTCTGGTGGGGGGAGACACGTAGGATCTTCCTCCTTTCTCTTCTTCACCGTCCTTCGTCCTCCTCTCTTTCTCTTCGTCGTCGGTTCCTCGTGCCCGCGTCGGCCTCTCGGCATATCCTGCGCGGTGCAATCCTGCACCACCGCCGTTTCTGCATCGCAATTCCTCGTAATTCCCGACGCTCCTTTCTCCGTGGAAAACTGCGTGAAATCTGAGAGTCTTATGGAATCACGAAGCCGCGCCTCGTCATCGAGTGGTTTTTCTCCCTTTTTTTCTATCTTACTGAAAACGCAGAAAAGCTCGTACCGCTCTTAGCGAGAATATTAGCAGAAAGATTGAATATATTAATGGTAAGTAGATTATTTAGTTGAGACAAATTTGATTTTTTTTAACACGAATATCAATAATTTTTAAATTATGAATGAGTGAAAAGAATTCCCGAATTATACTTCAGAGTACTATACTTCAAAGAGGGATAGGAAATTATTTCCTAAAATATTCGAAGGAGGGTTTAGAAAAAATTTTATTTTGGACCTTATTTATAAATTTTTGTCAAAGGAAAGAGAGAAAGAAATATATTATGCTACTTACAAGAATGTTTCTTGGACTTTTTGTGTTGTATTGTATTGCAGTAATGCGGAATCTAAAGATCCGCAGATAATACGCATCCGGCTTACGATACCCACTTTGCAATTTGTTCGCGACGAAGCGTCGACTAATTACCGTCCGTTTGTTGTCGCGAACGTGTAGATCGTATGTGAAAAGGTCGCTGGGAAGTGGACCGCTAGTTTACTGATCGTACGCGAATAAATGATTAATGATAAGGGCCCGAGAGAAGGAGTTTTCACGCGCACATTGAGCGTGATCATCACGTAGCGACTGGCAATCTTTAACTTGTATTATCTATGTATTTGAGAAAAATCTTGCATTGCACCGTCGCGATTGTGTTCTCACCAAAAACAACCTAAGAAAAAGTCAAAATAATGTCAATTTGACATTACATTGACAAAAAAATGACGTAAATTGGGTCAATATGACCAAATATATTCTCCTTGGAGAAGAAATTTTCTATTTCGCCCTAAGTTATATTCACCTTGATACATTTTCTTTCGGTGCGTCCTGCATGTAAATGCGCGAGAATAACATCGCGTCGACACGGAATGCGAAAAAAGTGCGTACGACAAAATAGAGCAGCGGTGATGTTCAGAAGAGCGAGAGAAGGGAGGGCAGAAGAGAGCAGCGAGTTCTCGAAGCGGTTCCCTCCTCCGTTCGACGGTCCCGAAAGGCGAGCCTAATTATACAACGAATTTAATGAATGAGTGAGCTAGCAAATACAGTGGCTCATACAAACCATGGGCGTATATAAACCACGGTCAATGCCGTGTGGCGGCTTTTGTGGTGAGATCAAAGAGAGCATCTCTTGCTCTCGCACTTTGCGCGGGATTAACTCGCGCGCTACCACCGGCGCGTGAACGCACGCGAGTGCGCGACCCCGGGCTCCCTCGCGGATTAAAGATTACGACATTCCTGTCCGGGTGCTCCACTCCAGAGAGCATAGATAGCGTCGTCTCAATCTGTTCCAATCTTTCGTAATTGTGCACAAATATAAATGACCTATGTTGAAACGCGAGCTGGACCGACACGACGAAACTAACACATTTAGAATTTCTGATAAGGACAAAAGATAACCTGGTAATTTATTTGTAAATCGACATCTCGGTTAAAGTCTTTTCAAATTTGCCGAGGTATTTGGAAAATAAAAAATGTAAATTTTTCTTCTACATTTCTGTGCTCGACTTAGCTGATTAGCAGCCTATTGCAATTGCAATTGCAATAAAACTAAAAATGATAACAACTAATAATAATTTATCCCATATTGGTAGATGAATAAAATACAAAAATGTGATTTATAAATATAAATTATATAAAAAATAAATGATAATATAAATATAATTATTATATAGAAATAGAATAATATAGATATAATTATATATAAATGTATATATAACAATTAATATAATTATATAATAAAAAATCAAGTAAAGTTTCCAATAACTTTTTTACAATTCTCATAGTCGTTATTTCCATATCTTAATTGAAATAGAATTAATTATAAAATTAATCTGAAATGGGACTAGCGTGGCGATTAGCACTTTTCATCAATTTGTGCGCTCGTTCCGCGAGATACTCGTTCGTCCGCACATCCTTCAAATGTCTGCCCGGGCGCGCGCTTGTATTGTGCCCCGGTCGCGGTGCACCAGCAATGCAAATTTAGCCCGACGGGAACAATAATATTGATTTCACGAAGTCGGAATTTTGCTCTTGCCGAGATAAACATCCCGGCGCGCGCGCACGTGGCGTCAATATGGGCCTTTCCCCGGTGTACGTAAGCGAGAATTCGTTTCTCTCTTTCTCTTTGTCTCTCTCAGAGCCGCTCCTGAGGCACAGCCCCGGCGTTTCCATCCGGGGAAACATTCGCACCAGCTTCGCATCCGTGTCTCTTTATTTCGAGGCGATTATTACATCCTCTTTGAATATCCAAAGCTACGTTTAACATTTGAACAAACAGTAGGTAGTATAAAATTAAAAAAAATATGTCTTTCTCTCTTTTTCTTTAAACAACACAGCAATAAAAAGAATTTAATATAGAGGAAGATAATTTATATCTTATATCTTATATCTTATATTATTTATATCTTTCAAAAGAAAATCATATAAAAGAATTATAAATTCATACAAAAGGGGTATAAAAGCAAAACTTGAACTCTCTGCATTTTCCAAAAAATGATGAAGTAAAAAAGTTTATTATGGATTTAAATAAATTGCTTCGATTTTCCTTTATCTCAAATATTTTGAAAGATGTTAAGTATTCATTTTAATAATTTTTGTTATATGTGTTTATCTGGGAATAATGGACAATAAAAAAATATATATCCCTTAACTGGCTATCGAAAAAGATTTAATATGACTTTCACTTTCGTGCTCTCGAAATGTGCATTCGTACCTCTTAATCTCGATAAGTATTAATTATATATCGTTATTAATCACGGATGTAACAGAACCGGGAACGAGATAAGGGGGAGAGATCACCGTTGGAAAGCCCGGCGGTGGATCGAGGGATACGTATCGAATACGCAAGGCGACTCTCCCTCGTCGCCGCGATAAAATAATAATTCCAGCAATTCCTGGGGGTCGGGATGGCGTGCCGTCGGGCACTTGAAAGGATCCCATGGGGCGGGGGACGGGGCGAGGGGAGAGAGGGTGGGTCGGTAGAGCCGGGTACCCGACACATGTAGCCCCCCGGGTGGCGAGCACCGGCGACTCGCGCACGGACCCCCAACGGAGACACGAGCCTCGAGACATTCTGCGCCGTCATCATCGCGTCCCGGCAACGTCATTGCGTAGTACATGAGGCCGATAGCTACACGTGTACGGGTGTACGCGTGTCGGCAAACACGCGCGGCAAATGTGCGCGACGTCGACCCGATTTTTCGCGGATCGCGGTTAAATCATTTTCGCAAGAACGGCATAAGTTAATCTCACTCGGGAATCGATCCGCGGAGGAATGATAAATTAAAGAGCTACCTTTGATTTTAGCGAATTAATTAAAGGATCTTGGTGCAATTTAACAACTGGAAGAATGTCCAACGCCGATTTTCTTTTAAGTTTGAAGAAATAATTCTTAAAATTGAGAAAAAAAAATTAAACTTTGATTAATCCTCTCGAATTCTTGGAAGACAATTAGATTACTATTGCATACTTTTAATTTATTTAAAGCCAGATTATTAATTTCAGCAGAATTTAATTTTTCCTTTTTTACGCGAATAAATTCGCTTTTCCATTTTATGGGGAATACAAAGATATAAGTAGCGTAGGTTTCGTTGTAAGGAAACGGCGAACCCCAGTCGTCGACTATTCTGATTTGGAATGCGTTCTGTATGTTTAGAACGCGTTTTCAGTTTTCAGTGGCACAAATATGCATATTATAATGACTTACAAATTAGATAATCTTTCTGACATGTAATCGCTGGGACTGTATTATTCTTATGAAATAAAATAAGTAAGATGAAAATCTTCTCTTTTTGTTTACGAAAACTGACCGCGTCTAGGAACGCAGCTTCGTTCTCCTTATCCGCAAATCTTTCTCGTCGTACTCGCGACGCTTAATTTTCATTGTGAAACTCAGTCGATTCCTATTGCTTTCTAATTAATTCGCTCGGAGTTCTCGGACTGACGCTTACGAAATCGTTAATTACAACCGACTTGATTAATGACTCGAGCTGCGTTCCAGAGACTGTTGCATACGGGTCAAGATTTATGTGCGTTCGAAGATGCAAATGCAGTTGACAAATATTAAAGCAGATAACTCCATTATACTGTGCTGATTCATAAGAATGATGAAATTTATATATTTCTAATTAATAATAGCGTAATTAATAAAACAGCTAATTTAATAACGAATCTCATTCCAAATGACTTTAATGGTAAAACATTTAAAGGGCAGCTTGACGTCATTCTATTTTGCGATAAATAAAAATTACTGAGCTAATTAATAATGCTTTCGTTAACGAAAAAATAAGCTTATTTAGAAATCCATAAATAATTCGCTAAATTCATTCAAAGTAGAAAATTTTTCTCGTTATGACGTTTATTAATTTAATGACATCATAAAATCTGGTCTTTCTCTACAAAATGTACACATATAATAATGGCTATCTTTCGTATGTCCCATGTCCTCTTTGTGTTGAAAAGAATCCGATATAAAAACGCGAGAGGTAAATTTATTTGCAAGATTCCCAAGTATGAAGCAACATTGAAAGTCCTCGCGAACTACGCGCGTCTCGTCGAAGCTTTCGTTTCCTTGCCGAAACGTAAATGTCCGGTCACCACGAGGGTCGGTCGATGAGTGCAGCGTGCAATCGTGAATGCAACCGGTCTTGATGCGGCATGTACTCTCCTCCACGCGACGTCATAATTGCAGCCGACCGCCCGGACCAATCGACGGGACCACGTCGGAGGAACGGAGATGATCGCGAGCAGGAACGGAGCGGAGAACCGAGGAGCTGCAGTAGGAGCGAGGGAGAGGGAAGGAGGGAGTGAGAAGAAGAGGGACGAGGCGAGAGATAGGTGGAGCAAGCAGAAACACGATTGGTTCCATCCTCCCGGAGGATATCGTAGCCATGGAAACTCTCTTGTCAGCAAAGAGCACCGAAATATAAATGGAATGACCGGCGATCTCTGACAGCCTGAAGGGGAGGGGAACGCGGTATCACATGAGGAAGGGGAGATGATCTATCTGAGAACAGAGAAAGAGAGACGGAGACGGAGAGAAAGAAAGAGAGAGACAAATCCGCGATATTATTAACGTCTGATTGTCGCCTGTCGGTCAGCGAGAGTGGTCTCTCGCGCGAAAAAAATGTCAGTATTGCAGTCGGATGGTGCAACATTGTCGCAGGACACCCTTTCTTTGGTCAACGAGATGGCGTGTTCGCATTCTTTGTCTCCAATCCTTAGCGGCGTATCATAAATGCAATCGTGGTCTTGGAAAAAAAAAAGAAAAACTCCAACACTTCGTATTAAAATAAAAAGTGTTGGAGGAAGAGAGATAGAGTTTGAAGAGGTACGTATTAGTGGAACTCGTATACTAGAGAATTAAGTCAACGCCGAAAAAAGGAGATTAAATGCCACACAAGTGTATAATGTTTATTTGGTACTCGAGATTCTATTTCGGAGTAATCATTTTTATACATTCCGCTTGGATCACGTATATTTTCTCGCTAATTTTTATTACATACTCGCGCATAGGAGGGCTTTTATTTTTCTTATCGAAATACTTGCGAACAAATTTCTTTTCGATGAACAGATTTTCAGCAATCTTCAAGTTGATTAATTAATTATAGTAATTCTTTTACACTTATCATTAATTAAAAATTAAAAGCAAACTCAATCTCATTATTATCGTAATGATCGGTCGTGTCTGAATATATAAGGGTTAAAGAATTACGATCGCAGTCCTTCCCATTATGGCGAGGCTCGCTTTTGCTCGTACGTCAATTATGATAACGCGGAATCTTTCCATTGACGGTGTATTACAATACGAAGAAGCAACAAAAAAATATAACGGCCTCGTGGGTGCCGCCTTATTTGGCCGCGTTCCTCGTCGAGGCGACGACGAGGCCGGCGAACACGACGGCCGCGAGATACGCCGAGCGAGTGCCTCGTGTGCCCTCTCCTTGTCTCGTTTCCATCCGCGAGATATCCCGGCCACTTCCACCGCCGCCGCCGCCGCTGCCGCCGCCGCCGTCATCTCCCTCCCGGTGCACGCGACCGTCGCCGGGACTTCACGGAGCAACAAGTGTTACCAGCGCGCTGCCTTCGCCCCGCCCCCAAAACGAGCCAGCCGAGCCGAGTGAGCGATGTCAGGCCTCGTGGTGGAAACTGCCCCGAGGCGATGCAACCACCTCACTCGAGCGCCGATCGCGCGACAAGCGACCCGCCGAAACCCCGAGAGAGCTTCGACTCGGCGCGAGTTAACGCGAGTAATGCGAGCGCGATACCCGTCGTCCGGCCCGGCGAACGGAGATACCGGAGTTCACGGTGTCGTTATGTGAAAGAAAGAAAAAAACTGTTCTCGAACGCCGCTACACGGAAGACTCTTCGAAAGGTGCGAAATCGTGGTCCCCGCGAGACTTGGACCGGACCGGCTGGTGCGAGTTAACGGTTCCTGACGATCGGACGAACGGATCTACTGAGAGACATCGCAGACTCCCCGCGGATTCCGCGAATGCTTTCGGACAATTTCAGTTCCGCTGACATCACGGGCGATCTCACGACGTACCGTATGACGATACTTGGATGCTGCTCTTCTCGAAAGATACACGACAAATGGTAGACTGTAATGATACGAGAATCCGTTTAAACGCCAGTGATATCTGTTTACCGAGACACGTGTCATTCGACTGAAGATCCGCTGGCTCGAGGCAGAGAAGCAAAGTGCAATGATCTACGCGGAAGGATAAGAGGACCGACCGTCGAGGAAAGCTTGTCGATCACGAGATACGCGGCACCGATCTCGCCTTTCTCGGGAAGGGGACCAAGCGCGAGACTTCGAGACGGACAAAGAGGAGCGGCGCAGATAAGAAGCCAGCCGGAGTTCGGCGAACTGCGACGAGCAAAAAGGCGACCGACGAGCAGATAGAACGACGCTGCAAACGAGTCACGCGTGTGCGCGCGAGATACGCGCGAGTTAATCGCCAACGAATTTGATTACAAACGTGACGGTCGCCGATCGAAACGCGACAGCCCAAAACTCCGCGAGGGGAGGGAAAGATCCGAGATCGGACAGAGACCGCGGCATCAGCAGCTGACGAAACTTATCGTCGACCGCCCGGGTCGCGGCCGAATCGCGGGAAAACGTAAGCGATGCGCTCGCCGCGATGATAAAAGGCGATAACAAGAGCGGCTGCGTTATCGCGGCGATGACAAATTGATCGATCGTTGATTACTCTTCGCGGCTGAGATGAGATGAGACGTGTTTGCCGCGTGTCGACAAATCGGTAGGACTGATCGCGCGCGATCGCACGGCACCCTCGGCACCGACGGGCCTCGCGCGGGCATCGTTGTTGCGCGCGACGTACGCGACGAAGGGGATGAAGATGAATGACGTCAAGCCGGAGAGCAGCGGCGCGTCGATTTCGCCGGCGGTCGGGAACAATAACAACAATAACAACAGCATCAACGGTAATAACAAAGCGTCAGCAACGGCGGCGACGGTGGCCGCCAACGGCGGCGAGGGAATCAGCGCTGCCGTCGCCAAGGTTCTCCAAGGATACGACTGGACCCTGGTACCCGTTGCTACCAAGTAAGTGTATCGCGTGGCAGACCCTTTTTTTCCCTCACTTCTGAACCGCCGTTTCATTCGAGCGATGGAAAGATTTTGAAAAATTGCTCGGGCGCTTTGGCGTAATCTTCTAAAATCTTTAGTCAGATTTAATTAGTCATATTTTAAACGTTTTTTTGCTAGAATTTGAAGAGAATGATGAAAAGACATCTTGCCGTCGTTCGAAAAAACTTACCAAATCGAAGGAACTGAGAAAAATTAACACAGTCGACGTTTGCGAAGTTACTTTATCATATATGATAAAGTAACTTTGCAAACGTCGACTATGTTGACACTGACGAATGAAAGATGTATTTCTCCATTGATATTTCATTTAGATGTTACGACACCATTTTGTTCATATTTTTTTTTTTTTAGAGCAGAAAGATTAATGAATCACTGAAATAGAAAACGCTTCCGAGAGGTATTTCTTTTTTTTTCTCCTCTAGCTTCCTCAATGTTTTCGCGAAGCGTTTTAATCGTCGCGAGTCGTATTAGCGACGCGTTAACATAGACACGCACGCATGTGGCCGTGCTGTGAAGCTTCGCGGGTTTAACTCGCGCGAGGGGGGAAAAAGGAGGGAGGGGGAGAAAAAAACCGAAGAAGAGAAAGAAGAAGGAACGGCGCGACGGAGCCGTCGGGGAGAGAAGAAGAGGGCGAGGAAGCGCGACTCGCGGCCTTAAAAATACGTAACGCTAACTCAATTATGACGCACTCGTTTCCCCGGCCTGGGAAACGTGCGTCTCGCGGAAAAATGTCCTCGGTCGCCAATTAACGCAAATTGGCTAATTAATGCCCGATCGCCGCATCCCGCGCGCCAGCCCGTCGGTCCTCCTCGATCGTGGGAAGGCAGAGAGGCAGTTTTAAAACAGCGACCTGATAACGATCCGAAGAAAATAAAAAAAAAAGAAGGAAATAACGAGAGGAGAGAAACTGAAATGCTATTTCTTTCCGCACTTTAGGAGCGGAGTGTTCCTCGTCGAGCGGTGTGTCCTCGGCGCGTCACTCGGTGCTCGCCGATGAAAAATTATTAGATCGCCGGCGAACTCGATAAAATCGCGAGCTCGACCTCGATACGCGGAAAATTGTGCAACGCGCCTTCCGATCCATCGTCGTAATGGCTGCCGATACTGCGATTTGGTATTTCTAGTTGCCGCGACGATCGTAATTGCCTTTGCAAAAAGAATAGAACAGAAGAATCTATATCGGGAAGATTAAAAAAAAAGACACCGGAAACTGTGAAAAATATCTTATCGGAGCGTCTATAAGAGACTTATGTTGTGTCAAATGTGGAAATTACGTTTGGGTGTAATTGTATTGCGTGAACTGTCATCACCTGCAATTTGGGACATCGCGATCGCCGAGATAATAAAATTTTAGGATGTATCTAGAAAATGTATTTTCGGAAATGACTTTAAAGCTGCGACCGACAAAAAGACATTAATTTCGTATTAATGCTGAAGCAACGTCTCTTTTTGAAACGCGTTAGAAACTTTAAAATTCTCCGAAGAAAACTCCATCAAATGATATCGAGAATGTTGATTTCAGTGAAGAAGATTTGCTTATGATTTCATCTTATGATCTCATAACGTCGTTAGGACGCGTACGAAAAGAATGTCCCGGAGGATCGCGGCTGTCGCGTGCGCCGAAGATAAGACGCCGGAAAAATTCAACGGAGCGATGCGAGAAGGAGCGATTACGCGGTACTAGGTACGCGGTTAGATCATAGAGGAGGACGGGCCACGACGGAAATCACGGAGTGTATCGTTACGCGCGCTTATCGCTAACCCTCAATTACGGGGTTATCTCGGGGGGGTTAGACGCAGGGTGCGGTGTTTATTCCCGGCGATAGAGCCCGATAAAATCGACCGGTTTTTTAATTCCCATGAATTTCCGTGAGAGTGTATCGTGTCGCGCAGATGCCGCGATCCGTACCGTATATCAAACATTAATTAACGATTTCTAAACGCGCAAAAATGACAATTTGATGAAAATTGTGTTCACCAAGACGCAGGATAAGGTTGGCGCGTTGGTGAAAGCTTCTTTTTTCTTTTAATTGCCCGCCTGATATCGCTCTCGAGTTCTTCTTGTTTGTGCCATTTTGCACGTTACCACGCCTACGTCGCGAACACGCAGAGTCACACGCATCGTACGTCTTTTTCCACTTTTTTTTTCTCTCCTCTCCTTGCGTTTATCCAGGTAAAGCGCGCGCGTCGTGTGTGCCGCGCGCTCGCGTCGAGGAGCGCCGTGAAAACCCTCGTTAGTGAGCCCACGCTAATTACCAACGGCTCCGCGGGTTTACACACGGATTTAACGCCCCTCTCATTTCAAAGAGGCCGAAATGTACCGCGGGGACCGCTTTCGAATCCTTGAGACGCGCGCCGGAGTCCTTTTCACCCGCGTTACGCGCGTTCGCCACGCTTATCCCCGTGTAATCCCCGCGCGAATCGAACGCTTGTAGGTCCGATTACACCCTACGGACTGTTGCAGCAACGCTGTCCCTCCGGGTTCCGCTTTCCTCGGCCGGAAGCCTTCGGAGCGATCCTTTTGTCCCGCCTTGCATCGGGAATCGATCGCGACAAACATCGCGCACTCTCGTACGGATAAATATATACATAATTTATATGACGCATCTGATATCGTTTACGTATCGTTACATCCGAGCTGTACCTTCGTATCTTAATCCGATTGTTTCGACATTATTTAAGATCGCACAATAACTGCCTATCTCTTTATATCCCACCTAACGATTCCCGCCAGAAAATAATCCCGTATACCGTATGCCGCCCGTTCTTCGCGCCTCACGGCCATCCGCTCGGGCGGCCGCGCGCGGGTCCTTAAAGAATCCTCGATTAAGGGTAAAAAGAAAAACAGGGAGGAAGGGGGGGTGGAAGAGGCCAGTCCAGGATATCTCTCCTGGCGCGGCAATCACGTCAATCACGTCGATCCCTGGGCTCTGGACGGGGCAAAAGTTTTATGAAGTCATCTTCTCGGAAAGAAAGGGATACGTCCATTCCTACCCGTCACACGTCGGCAGCCACGGTGTTATTTTAAGGCCGGTTTTAAACGCTCCGCGCCGCTCGCCAGGATGACCCGGGGGTAGCCCGCGCGGAGAACCCGATACGGATACGTATGTGTGCGTGTGTATGTATATACCGTGCCGTCGCCTCTGGTTATTTTCTTCTGCAAGTCACCAGATTATCCGCCAGAATAGTCGACCGGGTAGGTAGAAAGAGAAAGAGAAAGAAAAAGAGAGAGAGAGAGAGAGAGAGAGAGAGAGAGAGAGAGAGAGAGAGAGAGAGAGAGAGAGAGAGAGAGAGATTTAGCTTTTATTTTTACTAAACGATTTGAAAAATCTCATTTTTTATATACGCGTTTTTTTAAGTCGTAAGAGATCAGAGATTTACGGCGACTCTGTGAAAGTTTGACGGGACATTTGATATAATTTTGTATATGTATTGTAAAAGTATTTTATCGAAGTTGTATCGCGAAAGAAGTTAACCGGAAGCAGTAAAATACCGAGCATGTTAATTGCCAAAAGAATAAGGACTCAGTTACGTGTTAAAGTTACGTTGCGTAGGAGTATTACGAGCTACGTGGTGAATTGAATTAATTATTTAGATGTTTAGAGCGCGCAGTAATCGTAATGAGGTACATAAATAAGAGGTTTCTCGCTGGGTAATATTGAACAAGTCTCTTTAATAGAATCTTGTGTTTGTTCGCGCAAATTTGTATAGAGAGGTGTATCGTTTCCAATGAAGATAATGTCTTCGAATTGCAGGGGCTCCGGCGACAAAAGGGCGGCCCACGTCAAGAGGCCCATGAATGCGTTTATGGTGTGGGCCCAGGCTGCGAGGCGAAAACTGGCCGATCAGTACCCACAGCTTCACAACGCCGAGCTGTCGAAAACACTGGGAAAGTTATGGCGGTGAGTGTCGCGCGTTCTTTGTGCTTGCGTCAATATTTTGAACGCGTCAGGCGGAACGGTAGCGGTAAATCAGTAACGTGACAAATCCTAGGAGAGGCACGGCGGTTTCATTATTCTAGATTAGCGCAAGATCTTAGATGTTTTACAATTTAAAATATTCAGCTTAAAATCTACCATTATATTTTTTTTCGAAAATTATGATAAAGATAACTCTGACGTTTATGCTCCTCTTTTATTGTCTTTGTTAGAATTATTTAGCTCGAAATCTAACAAAATGTCACTAGACTCTCTGCTTCAGTCTAATACAACTTTTTGCTCCAATTTTTCCTTTTGCTCGATTCGATTTTATAAAAGTCGCGTATAGTTGAGAATTAAAAGTAAATGCGCACTCGAACGTTCGGTCGACGAATAAGGTTTCAACGGCCTCCCTGCGCGGCGGAAAGGCACTGTTTCGATAAAATTAATCGGCACCACGTGTCTTCAATCGGATGCCTCTCCGTTCTCCCGATCTGATAAGCCCGATTCTCTCACAGATGTGAGCTCGCCAGGCGGCGGCCAAGCCATGCGAGAGAATCGCGCTCGCTGATCTTCGTTCGCGCGCTCGCCTCGTTCGAAGAAAATCGGATCACAAGCCGAAAGCACGGAAATGTGCTGTTGATCATTTTACAGCTGCCGTTTATTCGAGGCCACCTGTGCTGTTTATCACTGATTCAATAATTTCAAGCTCACACGTTGAATTCGCGCGAAGGGGCAAAATACCGACAACAGGCGATAATTTATAATTATATCAATATTTATTTTTATATGTAGCAAGAAATCAAACTTCTTCAATTTATGCTTTATTGAAAACTTGGAAGCATTTCTTCCTTTTTACGAATCTCTGATAAATATATACGATGGTTCCGCGCTGCGAACTATACTTCTCTCACTGCCGTGGCTCTTTGTAGAAATTCAAAAAGTTTTCAATCTCTCTCTCACGATTGATGTAGAAAAAGAATCAGTCACCAAAGGATGAAGAATAAAGATAATGCTTTGACTGTTTTGGAATCACGTTCGATTTCACTTGCGTAAGATGCGAAATTGCACATGCGATTTCGATCAAAATCGCTGGGCCGGAAAGCGAGCTAATATCGTCCAACAAGGATCGTGCGACGAAAGTTCAGAGTCACCGCGTTCCAATTCCCGCGACCACTTGTTCATACGTAACCCATTTCTATTTTTACCAGCGAATTCGCGAATGCTTCTTCTTCTTTTTTTTTTACTTTTGGAGTTAGCGGCACGTATATACATATATATGTATTAAACACATCCGCACCACGTGGCGCCTAGGCTGCACGTGGTACAAGTGTTCCTGCTTCTCGAGACCCGTGAACTCGGGTCGCACATGTATAACAGCGGAGAGAACACACTTCGCGTGACGTCTCGGCAGCCCTCTCTTTATAGAAGATACAAATCTCCTTAACGCTCGTGTCGCTTCCCCACATATCGCTCTTAGAAAATCCTTCATCTTTTCAAAATAGGTTTAAACGCCTTCTCCTAACGTTGAATAAAGAGAAGGTAGAAATCGAGAGGATGAGATACACTTACTTCGGGTATAAATGAAACATGCGCGCAACGCACGCGATTACTGATACATCCTGTATATACGCGGGATGACTGGTGGACGATTCCGTTTCCTGGTTGGGACTAACGAGGTGCCCCAGTGGGCCATATAAACGATCATCAGAGGCCGCGCCGACAAGGACCCCCGTCGCGAATCATTTAATAACACCGGCCGCGATCGCGATCGTTCGCCAAAGATCGACGATCGATATCCCGGCGATTGTCACGGCGCGGCCGGAGCTTTCGCCCAAAGATAAGACGCCGCTTGGCATTAAGGATCAATCGATTTTTTTTCCTAACGCCATATCGAGGCTCATTAGCGATCTATTGGTCCTGTAACGCGCGTCGATTGAATCAAGTGACATTCACCATTCGTAGGTGAACCGTTACCCACCTAGACCTCTCGCATAAGAAGAAGAAAGAATACACGTCGGAGATGGGATTTTGAAGGTTCGTATACCAAAATCGGCATGTACACCGGTCGTACAAGAGAAACAAAAGCCGTCCTTGAGTCGTTACGTTGACCTACGGTTTTCGGCTCTTAAAAAGTCATTATTTAGCACCTTTTCGGTATGGACCTAGTCCCAATTAACACATTCACGTCCGAACGCGAGATGTACTTATACGTGACTGTGCCAAGGATCCGTAATACGCGCGAATGAACTAGCCAAATCGTCTTTGAGCAATCACGTCGCGCGTAAAGAATCGAATTTGCGCGATCGGTCGTCGATTGAGAGACGTCGCCGTGTGCCACTCTGACATTTTGATCCTTCGCGCAGAAACAAATGATACAGTCATCTTCGGTAATGAACACAGTGCTAGAGCGATCGCGCTACGCGGCCCGGAGTTGCTTGCCAACCTCGATGAGACCGATAAAACGGCGAAGCTCAACGAAGATCGTGCTTGCGAGTATATGTATGTACAGAGATCGCAACATCGATGGCGCGGTCGTTCACGAAGTGACAAGTGAATAAAGGAGATATCGTTACACTTGAATTATAATGATGTTTGCGACCTTATGTGCGTACAAAAGGGAAAAGATCTGTAATGAAGATGTAAAAATGTAGAGAAATATAAAATCTAAGAGATATGTAAGCACAGAGATTGAAGCGATATCATGATGTAATTCGCAAAAATTTCACGCAATAGTTATGAGATTATGACGAGGATCTAAATCTGCAGTATAAAATGATAAGGATATACATATATTCTTGCCCCTTTGGCGCAAGAACTTTAATCGCAACTGCGTCGATTCTCGCGGACTTTGACGCCGACTTGTCTCACGTCAATCCTGATAAGAGGGCCAGGTGCCAGTGCCTGGAAATAAATCTTTTTCTCGCATTCTCTCTCTCTCTCTCTCTTTCTCTCTCTCTCTCTCTCTCTCTCTCTCTCTCTCTCTCTCTCTCGTCGTCTCGAAACGTATCGCCATTCGGATACTCCAAACGCGATGTGTTTGTCGACAAAAGGAAAACAGATATCCCCCCGGTTCATCCTTGGCGCGTGCTCGCAGCTGCCGGCCGGTTCCTGCCGGAGATAAAGGGGCCCCCGGGGACCACAATAGACGCCTTGTGTCCGTCAGGTGAATTTTTCCGAACCCGCCTCCCCGCGCCGCGGGCCCGCCTGCAAATAGCGCGTGACGAGAACAGGTAAATCCGTCTTATCTCCCGGAAGGAACGATTCCTCCACACATCAGACTTCCCTCGAAAGCGATAGCTATTATTTTCTCCTCTCGCGGTAGCCGCTATCGATTCGAAGTAAAAGCGCAAATTGCTCTTTTCGGCCGATGACTGGGATTTTATATATTATATCGCTGTTTGAAGTATTATACGTTCGCGAAAATCAAATTTATAACGTCTCCGTCTTTTTACGAAGTTAACCATTAATCGAAATTTTTTAATATTCAACATTATACATTCTGTCAAGCAATTATCGTCGCTTTTAGTAGCTGGCTCAAGGAACGCTTCGAGAAAGTCGGACAATTTCGCGATTTGTTGACGGTTACTAGGAATGACAAGCGTGATAATTCAATTAGAATCCCGCGATGTGGATTCATCGAGATTGAGCTCGTGCGACCTTCGGCCGTGTGAATTTCTCTCCTCCTGCTCTTCCTCTCTCACGGGGTAACATCTGATACGTATGTACAAATAACCTCGTAGAGATACTGGCGAGAGGCAGAACTAAATTGACTGACCCTGCGTTGCATCTGGCGAGGAAAAAGAGAGGCTGCGACGGCTCGCTATCGTCGGCATCCACTGGTCGAAAAAAAAGCTCGTGGCAAGTCCATTGACCAGATGGATTTTCTCTCTCCGTCTCTCTCTCTCTCTCTCTCTCTCTCTCTCCGCTAGTCTATCGCTCTTTCTCCCTCCTTCTTTCCGTCGGAGTGACAAAACACTCTCGGTTAAGCTTGAGATACGTGTGTCAACCCGCTCGAGAGCTTAGCTCCCGTCGTGGGATTTAAATCCCGAGCTTGCGAATACTCCAGATGATGTATTACCAGCTTCCTCAAACGTATCTCATGACAACTTCCATTCTATTTTGCATTTTGCGCGATGTGTGTTTACAATACAATTAAGAAATATATTAACAATTAAATGAAGATATCAGAAAAGAATGAATATGAATGAGACGTCAAACTCAGAAGAAGCGGTCATCGACGACCTGAATCGGAAATTATATTGTGGATGAGAGAAAGCGCGACGAACCTGAGGTCATCCTGCATCTTGCAGGATGACTTTATTATTAAATGCAAGACGTTTAAAGAGAAGAAACGTGAATCGCTTGGGCGGCACGAACCATCGGCTATAGCGTAGCACGACGGAAATCCTCGAAATCTCTCGGACGTTCTCTATTACACCGGAAAACCTTATCGGCCGCGAGGTTTACGAGCCCAGTGGGAATATAAACACAAAGAGCATTTAAGGACCGTAACCGTGCACCGAGCCCCACGCCCGTCAAGCCGCTCCGCGAGGCGGACTGAGTTGTGCGCGCCTTCGAGCGCCTTAACGCGCCCAGAAACACTAACCAGACCCCCCATTTCGACTCATTCGAGAGTATATATCAGACGCCGATGGAAACGCTCTCGTTCCGAGGCTCTTCTGATGCCGGGTAGCAAGAGACGCTCGGCCACGAGCGGCGCGAGGAGAAAGACGGTCGCTCGCTTGTGTATATACGCGTAATGCGGGCGCGAAGAGACGTGAATCACGTCGAGCCGACGACAGATTTCACGGCCGAGTGTCGAGAATGTCGCTCCGCGATGTAAGTCTTAAAATTATAACAATTCGGAAAAACTGTGGACGTTCGAGCGTAGCTTAAAAGATACCGCTAAGCTCGTACAACATATATGTACGAAAGTTATTTGTTCAGCATAATTTAAATTTCTTACGCGGCTGATTGTGTACAGGCTGCTGTCCGATAACGACAAGAAACCCTTCATCGAGGAGGCCGACCGTCTGCGCGTTATCCATAAGCGCGAGCACCCCGATTACAAGTATCAACCCCGACGTCGGAAGCAGAACGGGCCGTCTTCCGGTCGCGAGAGCTCGCCCACGAGGAGCCAGAGCAACGTGACGTTCAGCGTTACCAGGTCGATGAAGCAGGAGGACATGAGTCCTAGAGGCGTTCAAGGTCCCAATTCGCCGCAGAGTGGCGTGAGCTCCTCGCCACCCACGACACCCGGTCAGGGCCTCTCACCGCCGACACCCCCTACGACACCCAGGGGACAGCACTACATCAATCAGGTACTCAAAACGCGTTTCTTGCGATCGCCCGAAAGCTTTTGATTTGATGAGAAAGAAATAACTTAGATAATTATATCAACAATACTCGCGTTTGCCATTTTAAGATTATCGTTCATAAGATCAATTTGCATAACTAACAATTGTGATAATAATAATTTAAACAATAAGTTGCCATTTAATTTTCGCTTTGCGATCATTATATAATATTAAAAAAAGATTAGACCTTTGCAGACCAAATAATTTCTCGCAAATGAGCGAAAATGAAGTATTTCATCCTCAATTTCATCTAATCAGCTAGTATCTAATATGAATCAAAGAATTTTTATCACTTGGAAAAATTCATGGAGATATTAAAAATATAATTTGCCGATTATAATCACGTATAGATTCGAATGCTTAAAGAATGCGACCGTATGATGTCGAATCTAATTCGAAGTAGGACCGCAAAGGATTAATCCTTCTTGTAAATATAATTATTCAAAGCTACTTCGCGCGCGCGCACGAATTGTTCGTATCCTCGGTCAATCATTCTAATCGTTGACGTCCCGCGAAATGAAGACGCTCGATTCGCAGAGCAATCAGCTTCCGCAGAACAACACGGTGTACTACCAGGAGTTGGTCAGCGGCACGCCGTCGAGCGAGTCCCCGCATCAGCAACCGGCGGTCGATCTTCGGTATATCGAGGTCGGAGACGGCCTCCCCGGCGAGGAGAATCAGTTGAACGGCCTCGGCACTTTGGGCGGGCTCGGCCTGAATCTCCCGGTGAACTTCCAGGAGTGCGAGGTCGAGAGCAACGAGCTCGACCAATACTTACCGCCCCAGACCAGCACGCCGATACATCAGTACCCGCCCGTGCAAGTCACCACCGCCTCGCAATGGTTACTCAACAGGTAGAGAGACCGTCGTAATTGCGCTCTTTCGCAATGATTTCAAGTCAAAGAGTGCAACCTAAAAAGAACGTAAAATTATAATGGCGGCATTCTAAAAGTTTCGACCACCAAAATTTTCGTTGCACTTAAAATAGAAAAGACCGTGCGCGACGTAATGTCGAGAGTTCCTCGTATCTTTCATTGTTATGTAATTAATATTTTTATTTCTAATTTTGCACGTCTTCTCTTCTACGAACACTCAATTATATTCGGTGCAAATATTGTTCGTTAACATCAGGCTAAAGTTACGAGAGACGCGTTGTAAAATTGACCGATGGATTTTCCGAAATTTATCCCTGCCGCTTTCTCTCTCTCTCTGCATGATTTACGAAACATCGGGACACTTCGCTTCACTTCCAGATATGAGGAGGAGATCGAGAGACCGATCAAGCGTCACTGCTCGGAGCAGGCGATCGCAGAGGTTTCGTCATGGGAGGACAGGACTCAGGAGATGGTCAGGTACCACGAGCTGCAGCCTCCCCTTCCGCCGGTCCAGTACATATCCGCCCATAACGCGCACCATTCGCACGCGAGTACGCAGATGGGCCATCCGCACGTGTCCACGCCCTACGCGCAATACGCACATCGCTACGTGTCTGGTATCGAGACGTGGCCGAATTACATGTAGACCAAAGCGAGGTAAAAGTGCCCACCATTTTTCATTTTCGCGATGCCGAGAGGCACGCCGCGATATCGTCGAATCGTCCGATTTTTACGTATATAAACGAGCAGAAAAAAGATTTGCGTAAACCATCCTGGATCTGTCGTGAAATACTCGAGGGACAGATTTTTGGAACCCGACTTCGAGTCTCCCCGGTCGACACGCCGAGGAAAAGACGTTATCGTTTAGCTTTTAAATTTTTACCAAAAATGTATCTCGATAATTAAAGTTATACAATTATCGAAATTGTCCTAAAATTATTTACTAGTCGAAGACTTTTATTTTTTTCTTCGCAATTTTTGCAACTTACTCACGTAAACGACCTTATTTTTGACGATACAGTCATATTCCTTAGAAATCCTTACTAAGGAAAAGTCGGTATTGAGTTCCTTAAGAAATTTCTCTACAAAGTATTTTTTGATAGATCCGGGATACCCTGATGTAGATAACGATGCTGATGAAGTTATGTACGAAACGCATCGCGTAAAGTAAAAAAAGTAAAATAAAGACTATTTTATCACGTCGAATATTTTGTTACATTGACCCAAATCGTTGCAAATGCTTGTATAAATAAAAATGATTGTAAACTGCACATGATTGTATAAATAAATTGTGATCGGATTAATCGCCGCGATGTTAAATCCTCGCGACATTTCCGGGCATACAGAGCCCCAGGAATACCCAAATACAATGTAATTAATTAATTGTAGAGATCCACTCTATTAATAGTTTTACATGAGTTTGCTCGCGATTGTATGCGCGGCTAATTGTGAGCTTCGTGTGATAAAGTTTGTAGCGTAACGCAGATATGTTGGATAATCCATTCGTGTCGATCTTAAATCTCTTCCTCAGAAAGGAACTATCGTCTCTGACGTTTGACGGCATTGCAAATTTGTGAAGAAAGAAAGACGAGAAGAAAAGGAAATATCGATACATATGAAAGTCATGACTTTGAGAGTTCCAAGTCATTCTTCTGGAAAATCGAAATTATACTCTTATCGTTCTAATGCCACGCAATTTTGGAATTGCGACGATTACGTGTAAACGTTCGCGTAACATCCGTCTTAAAAAAATTGAAACAAGCTTGCATATTTCGAAAAGTGTAAAGAGCATGATAGAACTTTTACATAATAAATAATATCTCGAATATCTCGAAAACAAGCATTACATAGAATTTGATGGGCGTCTTTCTCTTCCTAATTTCAACAGGAAACGCGAAGGGAAAATATATATAGAGTGCAGAGCGCTAAAATTTATTATAAACGTATCTATTAGAGATAATCAAGCCAGAGTCAGACAGAAGTCAAATCGTTTGAGTTTTGGTTTTTCTGGGCTTTCAATCCTTTTTAAGATACGCAGAACAATGATTTTACCCTTCATTTAACTTTCTTCGATCTGATGCTTGGTTCTGAGATTTTTCATCTTTATATGTACAATATCCCTTCGTTTATCTAAGCCTGGCAATTTATCATACCGCTGCATTTGACGTGGATACTAACACCGGATTAAATTTTATATCTCCAGAAGAGATCGGATTTCCTTCTTCAAGTGTTAGAATCGAACTGCATGACGAGTCAATAAGGTATCGATATTCTACTTCATGTGATTTGGTAATATACAATTGTTGTTAACGATAATTTATTAACAGCAATAACTCGTTAACAACCATCGCTCGCAATCCGAGATACGGTCGCGCGCGCTACGTGCCTCTTGCTCGACGCGAAAATGGCGGATTGGCCGTTCTCCCGGCTCGAGAGTCTCCACGTAGACGAGGCGCGGCCACGATACTCACCATGACATCATTCCATGACAGCCGGCCATTCCAAAGCGCAGAATTTCAGGCCAAACAAACAGGCGGCCGCTCGATATATACGGTGCCCAACGGCGCGCGAGCGTTCCAAATGTAATAATATATATATGTATATACATATGTAAGCGAGACGCGCGCGGACGCTATAAACCGGCGATCGGCCGGTCGGCTTGCCGCACGCTCGCGCACGTCCCGTTCAAATAAACGGCTGAAATACGATCGAGGGTGGCAACAAATGTGCGCTTGGCGCTTTCCGTTTAACGGACCGAGTATTTCGGGACCCGGAATTCGCGCGCGAGATACGACGACGCGATCGCAGCTGTAAAAGACTTTGTGATTGACGGAGTTAACTCTTTAGGAAATTTTAATCGAGCATGAATTTTATGAATTAGAGAGCCGAGTCGTTTTCTATAGTAATTCAATCGCGAATCGTCCCTCGTTTTTCCACAAGATGTGAATGGTATTTTAGCTCGACCGCAAACGACCGGATATATCGAGGACCGACTGGCCTGGTATCGAGCGCGCAGCTATTGTAAATGAGCTTTACAGCTCCATATTAAAACACGTAGAGATCACATATACTATACATTATTAACACTTACTAGTTACTACGCTGACACAGCCGTGCTTTTGTACTTAGATATTTATTCACCGCATTTTTACGAGGATTGATAGAAAGCGTAGGTTAACGTCTCGGCGTAGTTGTGCGCACCGAAGAGCGAGCACTAAACCGTAATTTATAAGTGCGATGTACGCTAATTTGTAGAAATAAAGCAAGAGAGACTAAAATCTGTCGCATTTAATACCCCTCTGTCGCTCCTAACTTCCCAGAAATTATATGTCGACTTTTTTTTACACATTTTTATAAATATATTATGTATTATTCTATACGTAACGTAAAAATATTAGCATTATCTCACTTTATTTTATGTTTTGTTCTAAATTTTAACGTGTGAATTACAAACCATTGACAAACCATTTAAATTGATAGATGTACGAGGGTCGTTTAATAAGTCCTTAGAAAAAAAATTTTTTTTCTATCCTTTGTTTCTCTATCCTTTGTTTTTCTATCTTTTTCTAAGGACTTATTGAACGACCCTCGTATTTAGAATGTCCTTTTGACCATGACTTTCTCAGCTGATCTGAATTTAATTTCTCAATTGCGAGAAACTTATATTCTTAAAGATAAAATTTTCTTACTAAACGGCTGCAGTCGAATTCGCAGGACCGTGCGACCGAGGCCGACGTGGAGCCTTATCTTTCTCGCCTTCTCGAATGATATTTGCAACGATACACGCGTAGCGAAATGAAATAGTACGCGGACTAGGTCACACGCGGTAACAAACGCGCCTCAAATATTTGTCGAGCCCTTTACTTTCCCCTTTTAATGGCCCGAAAACCGCGAACGGACCATTCTCTCGGTCGAGCAAACAGGGGGCTTATCGAAATCTACCGGCGAGGGACGTGGGAATGTCGCGACTTTATATGCCACTTATCCGCATCTAGGAGATTAAATGGAGACCTGGTGGTACACGTGTACTCTGACGACTCGATAGAAATTATCACTTATAATTAGTTGTAATTAAATTCGGTTGCATTTCATTTACGAATAATTTGTTTATACTATACGTACTTCTATGATCGTAAGCCTATGATCGTAATTATTATTTATTCGTCAGAAACGAGATGCTCGAGTTTCTCCCCGTGGATATCTGCAAATCTTATATTTTTCTTTTGCCATATTTATATTATAATTTTAATCTCTCTGTTTTTCTACTGGTTGTGAGTTATGCCAAGTTTGGAGCTAAATTTAGAATGGGCGATACCGTGGTGAAAACAAGTCGGTAACTCGCGCGGCGATCGTTCACGATGGGTTTCGTCGAGTTAGATCAACTTGACTTTTTTTCTCCCTCGTCATCTCTCGGCGAAAGAAGAGACCGATGGAGCTTGACGAGAGTCAGCCCTTCCATCCCGCAGTATCATCGTACGGCCGGCCGTCTGATTTTTTTCCTCGCATCGCTGTCAGACATCGGGATTTCGATAAAGCAAAACGGAACAAACGACGGAAACGGCACCTTCTTGACCCCTTTGGCACGATAGAATTCCGTGAACGGGACAAGGAGGATATAGCGGAGAAACAATTGTGGGTGCAAACGCGACAGTACCGCCCATTGAAGTGTACGGGCAGCTGGGTGTCGGAAAGACCCGCCATTTATACGCTTTATCTATTTTAATTTCGTCACGTAATATATGTATGTATATTCGATTTACTGGAAGCAGGCGGTCGTTCTTTAACATCGAACGACTTCCGGGTGCTAGTTCCTAGAAATCGTGGAATCGACGTCTATCTCGATACGAGCACATCCGCTCTTTCTCTCTCTTCCCCTTTTCTCTCTTTCTGTGTATCTTCACAATGAACTTCAATAAAACGATACTATTTGCTAACTAAATTTGCTAACAAGGTGTCTAAGATTAACGATAAATTTTTTAACAAGAAAGTTTAAATTAATTTGACAAATCAATTACCGATTAAGTTAATCAAAATGCATTTGATCGAAATGCCATCTTGAAATATAGCTTTAGACTGAACACACTTGATGAAAATCGGTACGCAATTCCGCACCTGAGGCAAAAATCATTAACATTAAATATCTCATTATCACACAATACTGTACTGGCTTGTGATTATAAAACTTGCATAAAAATATGTTAAGCGATTAGACTAATATTTTTCGTAATCCTGGGTACTCCGCCTTCGCTCGAAAAGGACATTTCCCTCCTGCGGGGAATACAATCTCGGGCCGATCGAGTGCGATGACATTTCGTACGATAAATAAATATTTGAGCGAGTACGATAATATATCGATAAAATTTTCGACAGTTCGGGCATTCAGCGCCCCGCAGAATAAAGAGTTGTAAACCCTTCCAGCTGTTCCAGGTTGCGCTACGTTTTATCGGCCAGTTATATCCTCCTTACTATCTATCCATTCATCGAAATCTCGCCTCGCGGCACGCGTATGCCATTGTGATTGCGGGAAAGTCTTAGGGCCAACCATAAGTTCCGTCGATATTTCTGGCGAGAGATTCGTCACGAAATCAAATCGAAGTATGGCGAAACGCGAAAGAGCGCAAGAATCATTTGTATCATCGCTTCATTCCGAATTTTCTAAATATAAAATTATTATTTACTGTTTAAAAAAAAGGCATCATCATATCCATGCGTAAAAAATATCTTTTTGGCGTAAATGGAATCGGATTTATACAAAGAAGCATACATTATCTCGAAACTTAGGTATATTAAGGTATCTAAGCCAAAGTATATCAGAATACAAAAATTTTTATATAGAATTAATTTGCTAATTATTTGCTATTTTTCGCTTTTAGAAGTAATTTTTTTGCTCCAGCTATTAAAAAGTTACGAAGGGCTGGATGGCTTAAGATTAAGCTATCCAGCCATTGTAAAAAAACATATAGGTACATAAGTTAAAGTAAAAAGTTAATAATACCAAAATTATTTGCTATTTTTTTGCTCACGTTATTAAAAAGTTATAAAAGGCTGGATAGCTTAAGAATAAGCTGCCACGTAATTGTAAAAAATAGCATACTGAAATATCAAATAATTAGTAAATTAGTTCTATATAAAATTTGTTGTGTTCTGATAGTTTGTCTTAGATAGCTTAATATACCTTCGAAACTTTGTTTAATGAATTAATATCATTACGCGTCTCGTAGCTTCATTTGAGATATCTTGTAGGAAAGATTTACGTGATCTCGATGAGACTTGCGTCTCGATGATTCAGAATTTATATATATAATATCTAGTAGATAAGGAAGGATCGAAGAGAGCTTATCAGCCGACACGACGATAGTTCTAATTAGCGCGGCAATTAGGCCGTTTTAAGAATTGCTGAATAGCCGCGGAGATAAGTTTCGTCCTTATTCGCGCTGAAATTATCAATTAAATTCACCGGCGGGTCGCAGCGCAGTAGTTTTCCGGTCGGTCAAGATGATACCTCTTCTCGCCCTTCGTTGTTCTTCCACGAGAGCGAGAAGAGCGAAGTCGCAATCGTTCAGCAATCTAATCGGTCGCCCTTTCGGTACACACTAAACGGGTCCCACCACGTGTGAAACTAGACGAGGTCGCATACCCATAGAGACGAAGGGTTGGCTCACCGTGATGCGCGGTCAATAGCAAGTTAAACACGAGTAGCGGCTTATCGTGGCGTTACCATGGTAATTACGCGGTAGATACCGATAAACCATGCATGCACCTAGGTACATAGCAGGGCGCCGATACAAGCTTATCAGTAAGAACCAAAGGGGTTCGCGTCCAGGAGAATTTTAATGTTCCACTGCACGGCGCACCGCAGTCCTTCTCTAAATAATGCATTTCGATGGATCTTGCGAAAGCTCGCGACGCGACGCAATATTTTTCGCTACAAATTAAATTACGTTTATATTCGTCACTTAGCATTAATTATCCGTTATGAATCTCGAGGAATTATAACGGGCACGTTCCGTGACATTAATTGGCGTCTCATCGACTACGTCTCGGGAACTCGCGTTGCCGTTTCGACGAAATTGTAATATACGCTTCGTCCCTTGGCGGCCGATATCGCTCCTTCTCCCTCGGCGCCCGTCCAAGCGCGGCACATCTTAATTGCCAGCGGCGGAGTAAAGATAATTGGCATTTGGCAGCGAGTGATCCGCGATACGCTCATGCCGGCGATGGCGGCACGGCGCGGTTAGCTTCTTCTCAGAAAGAAGTTTGTTTGTACGTTTTATAGGTCTTGAATTTACCGCAGGCTCTTCTGCGCCTGAGACCCGCGGCCGCGTCGTCTTCTTCGCCCAACGTCGATGGCAGATACGCCGTCTGAGAGACAGGGAGCCTCTTCCTCCTCCTCCAACCCTTCTTACCCATTGGCCTCTCTCACTCCCCTTTCTTTTTCCTCCATTTTTCTGTGCAGACGGTTTTCTCCACGGCACTTACTGACGTCGATGATGCATTAACGTAATTGCGTTTGCGTCCCGTTCGCGAGATAAGACGAGAGAACCCGCCGAAAGCCTGCCCTTCTTTTAAGCTGAAAATCCGAGCCTCGGGAACTCATGTCGCTCGAGAAACCTGCCGAATTTACACGTTGTTACACTTATTATAGTTATTCTAATTTATAAGAGGTGACTATTTTGTCGTTTAAAGAAATTACACTTTGATTCGTGTAAGTAATCTATTCGTTTAACAAGAATAATCGGCAGCAAATATATTTATAAAAAAATATTTGCCCATTTTCTATGATCTCTTAATAAACGATTTCTACTCATTTATCTAACCGTGTAGTTTGATAGACGTCTCTCTCTCTCTCTCTTTCTCTCTCTCTCTCTCTCTCTCTCTCTCTCTCTCTCTCATGTCACGTAAATTTATAAAATTGAAGATAAAGCAATTATATGTATGACTTAGTCCTTCACAATTTTCCCTCATTTCATCGAATGCTTAAAAAGCGTAGTGTATCTTTTTTCTTTGCAGTATTTGCGATCTTCAATATTCTATCGATATTTCTTTATCATTTACTGCAGCTTTAATTTTGTCTTTTCACTTGCAATTCTCACGAAGAGTTTCTCGGATTCGCTCGTTATATCGAAGGCCGGAATTCCCGACGAAGGGTTTTCGTTAATTCCGCGCTTCTGATCCGAAAGCCGTAGGCCGCAACGGGCAGAAAAACGATTAACGCCGCGACGTCACCTAAGGTGGAGGATAAGAGGAAGAAGTGAGAGGAGAGCCCG